GCAAGTAATGTGAAGTGGAGTAAGGAAAGCCTCTTTAATAAATTGTGTTGGCATCACTGGACGGCTACATGCAAAAAAATAGGCTCAGAACTCTGCCTAACACCATGTACAAAAGTAAGATCAAAATGGATTAAAGACCTCAACATCAGACCAGAAACCATAAGGTACATTGAAGATAAAGTTGGCAAAACCCTCCATGACATTGAAGCTAATGGTATCTTCAAAGATGCCACGCCACTGGCCGAGCAAGTGAAAACAGAGATAGATAAATGGGACTATCTTAAACTAAGAAGCTTCTGCACCTCCAAAGAAACGGTGACCAAAATACAAAGACAGTCTACAGAATGGGAAAGGATATTCACCGAATACACATCTGACAAGGGGTTGATATCCAGGATATACAGAATACTGGTTAAACTCCACAAGAAGAAAACATCCAACCCCATCCAAAAATGGGGCAATGAAATGAACAGAAACTTTCTCAAAGAAGAAATCCGAATGGCAAAAAAGCACATGAGAAAATGCTCTACATCATTAATCATCAGGGAGATGCAGATCAAAACCACAATGAGATACCATCTCACACCTCAGAGACTGGCCCACATTCAAAAGAACAAAAGCAACCGATGCTGGCGTGGATGTGGCGAGAAAGGGACACTCCTTCACTGTTGGTGGGAATGTCCACTGGTTCAGCCCTTCTGGAAAACAGTATGGACGATTCTCAAAAAATTAGAAATTGAGCTCCCATTTGACCCAGCAATACCACTCCTGGGAATATATCCCAGAGAGGCAAAAATGTATAGTCGAAGTGACATCTGCACTTGTTTGTTCATTGCAGCACTCTTTACAATAGCCAGAAACTGGAAGAAACCTGAATGCCCAAGAACAGATGACTGGTTAAAGAAACTTTGGTACATCTACACAATGGAGTACTATGTAGCTCTTAGAAAAGATGAAGTCATGAAATTTACATACAAGTGGTACAATATGGAAAGTATCATGCTAAGCGAAATGAGTCAGAAAGAGAGGGACAGACATAGAAAGATTGCATTCATCTGGGGGATATAAAGTAACAAAATATGAGATTAATACCCAAGAATAGCTGAGATCAGCACCAGGAGGATTACTCCATAACTTAGAGGCCAGCCAGGTATCCTAGAGGAAAGGGCAGTTCAGATAGAGAAGGGAGCACCAAATAAAGTATGTTTGGAGGATCCTCCCAGGAGGGGAGATGCATGTCGAAAGTAGACTATGGACTGAACATGTTTGCCACTCAATGCCTCTTTTGCAGACCACAACACCCAAAAGGAAAGAGAGAACACAGGGGATTGCCCTGCCACAGAGACAGGGGGGATGGGGGGGGGATGGGGGTGGGAGGGATATTATCCATGGTGGTGGAAAATGGGCACTGGTGGAGGGATGGGTATCTGATCATTGTATAACTGAAACCAAAGCACAAAAAATTGTAAATCTACAACTTTAAAAAAAATAAAATAAAATAAAGGGAAAAAAAAAGAAGCTTTGGTACATCTACACAATGGAATACTATGTAGCTGTCAGAAAGGATGAAGTCATGAAATTTACATACAAGTAGTACTACATGGAAAGTATCATGCTAAGTGAAATGAGTCAGAAAGAGAGGGATAGACACAGAAAGATTACATTCATATGGGGAGATAAAGTAACAAAATAGGAGACTAACACCCAAGAATAGCCGAGATAAATACCAGGAGGATTACTCCCTGGCTTTGAGGACAGCCGCACATGCTAGGGGAAAAGGCAGCTCAGATAGAAAAGGGAGCACAAAATAAAGGGTGTTGGGAGGTTCCCCTCAGGATGAGAAATGCGTAATGAGAGTAGACTATAGTCTGAACAAGATTGCCACTCAATGTCTCTTTTGCAAACCACAGCACTCAAAAGGAGAGAGATAACAAAAGGGAATGCCCTGCCACAGTGGTAAGGTGGGATGGGGGGAAGGGAGGTGGGAGGGATACTGGGACTGGTGATGGTGGAGAATGGGCACTGGTGGAGGGATGGGTATTCGATCATTGTATAACTGAAACCCAAGCAAAAAATTTGTAAGTCTACAATTGTACCTCATGGTGTTTCACTAATAAAAATTTAAAAAAAAGTTTGGGTCTCATGCTTTCAGTGTTGTTGACCTCTTGGTTTGGATATTTAACTATATCATTCCTTAACACCACGGATATACCTGAATCTCCTTGATCCCTGACCCTCATTGCTTCTCATCTGTCTCTTCTCCCTGTCCCCTCCACTCTATTTCTTTCCTTCTCTTTCCTATACTGTAAGGTCAAGAGTGATCTAGGCACCCCTCCTTTAAACCATTACATTCCCTCATTCAGTTATTCTAAACACCACATATAAATGATATCATCGCATGTGTGTCCTTCTTCTGGCTTACTTCATTTACTTCATTATATCTTCCGGTTCCATCCATGTTTCAGTGAGTTGCGTGATTTAGTCATTCCTAACAGCTGCGTAGTATTCCACTGTATGCACATACCATGTCTTTATGACCTACGGATCTGTCGTTGGACATGTAGAAACTGTGTCTTATCGAATCTCCGAGGGCCTCTGTACCACTGTGGCCCAACTACCTTAAGGAGCACCTTTTTAAATTTGTCCTAAGGAATTTTGTTACCAGTAATTTTGAGGACTTTGAGAGCAATCACTGGAACTTATTTTAGTAGCAATTGGACTTAAACTTGTTTTAAGTATAAAATACCCAGATGATGGATTTCCTTATTTGCCCCTTTCACCTTCTGCTTTTCCTCTTTCCTTTCTCTCATCCCATGATGTGGTGGAAATGAGCCCTGCCTTTCTCTCCAATGCCATATTTTCTCCTTCATTTATGAAGCTCCATTGGACAAGTACATTTCTATTTGGAGGTATGTCTGGCACTGCAAAATAAAATGTGCACTCTTTCCCTTCCCTCTTCTCCCCTTCCTCTCCCTTTCCTCTTGACCCACCTGATTGTGTTCAGGGTTTACTTCTGTCTCTGTGCTCAGGAATCCATTCTGGCTATGCTTGGAGGACCACATGTTATGCCAGGGTTTGAACCCAGGTTAGTTGTGTGCAAGGCAGGTGCCCTGCTTGCTGTATTATCTCGTCAGTCAGTGCACAATTCCATGAATGTTTTAACTCTGATTTCTGTTGGTCATAACATCATAATTTATGCAGAGACCTAGGCTAGTATTGTTTAGAACTTTGGGGTACTTACAATGTCTTTTGCATGTGCGCTACCTGGAAATAGTAGCACTATTCATTCAGGGAATTTAGAGCCCATCTTTGACTATTTTAATACCTTCCAAAGGAGAAGACACCTTCAGGCTCCAGTCCATCCTCCTGGCACCGACGCTAATCCCTTTAAGTCTGCACTTTATTTGAAAACTTTACTTAAAATAAGTCTTAAATGTCTCCTAATGGTCTCTCATGGTGACTTCACTTTGAATTTTTCTTTTGCGTGTTTTCTGTATTGACCCAAATCTACCTCTAAATCCAAGTCTTCACTATAATCCCTAGGAGGGATGTTGGGGCCTTTCTGCAAGCTGGGGGTGCATTTTCAGTGGGAGACATTATCAGTGGGGGACATTCTTTCTCTGAACTTTGCTCTAGAGTGCACTTAGGTGGCCTAATGAGTTCAAATGTGACCTTTACCTACCTTACTGATGTTCTTCTTAGTCCACACACTCAGGTGTACTAAGGAAAATCTTGACACTACATGTGTCTTTGCTTAGGGGACAAGAATTCTGCTTCCTACTATAGTCCAAGGAAAGATGGAGGATTGGAATTCTCAGTCCCCTTTTATTGTGAAACAAATATTTATTGAGTACCTACTATTTCTGGCAGGTATTACCATGTTGCAGAAGGGCGAGGGAGAAGAGAATGAGAGAAAGAGAGAGAGAGAGAGAGAGAGAGAGAGAGAGGAAAAGAGAGAGAGAAGAGAAAAGAGAACACATCAGGAAACAGGCAAAATTCCATACTCGTTCAGAATTTAGATGTCCATGTATGTGTGTGCATGACTCTGTGTATCTATGTTGTGGGAAGAGAAACAAATGAATAGGTTCTGTGACATAGGGAGGTTCACCTGATTTGCTATTTGGCAATAAACCAGGATGAGTGCCAACCAGTGTACTTCCTAAAAATTAGTGCTATTATATTTGAGGCCATCAGTGCCACAGGGTAAATGATTCCTTTTCGTTTTAATGTCTGTTCTCTGGGGAAAACAGAGGGTAAACATGTCTAATTTAACAGCTTTAATCAGGTCCCAGGATTTCCCAGTTCATAAAACCCCTTGGGCCAGCCTAGCAGACGGGTCTTTTAGCACTGGCACAAGCTAGTTTCTCTGTCTGAGGCTAGAGAGGACACGCTGGGCCACCACCAGAAATCATACTCTGTCACTCTTGAATTCCCGGAGCCTGGGGCACTAAGCTCTCAGTCCAGATCTCACCCAAACCTCACATACAACAAGAAGAGTCATCTTTGTTTGGGACAGCTCAGCTCTAAAACTGCCAATCGGTGAGCAGGGGCCAAGGGGAAGACTCATACAATCAAGCATTGAACTAAATGCAGAAGGATGAGTGTGGAATTCTTGTGTCTCCTTTCCTTCTTCCAGAACTCATCTGTGAGAGCCAAGGACTTCTAGAAATGCCTCATCTCCTCTCTACAAACATGGGCATTAGTCATTGACCATTGCTAGCCTTTTGGACCTTCCACACCGAAAGGGAACTGAGATGCCAGTAGAGTCAGGAGTGGTCCACAGGGCTCTTGAACTTGATCCCTACAGAACTTGCTCTTTAGTGTTCTGATAAATACCTGTAAAGGCTTCCTCAGGCTTTTGTGTAGCAGAGAAAGAAATATGCTCAGTAGACTGGGCTGAATTTCCTTCTCATTGAGTAACTCAGTCTCACTGTTAGAGCTGGGAACTCATTGGAGCATTAACCTCTTGTCCTTTCTCAAGAGATAAATCTTAAAGCAGAATGGCCTCAGCAAATGACTCCTTAGTGACTGAGTTTATCCTCCTGGGTCTTACACAACAGCCAGAACTGCAGCTGCCTCTCTTCTTCATTTTCTTAGGAATCTATGTGGCAACCATGGTGGGGAACCTGGGATTACTTGTCCTCATTGGGCTCAACCCCCACCTGCACACCCCCATGTACTACTTTCTCTTCAACCTTTCCTTGGTTGACCTCTGCTACTCCTCGGTCATAACTCCCAAAATGCTGGTTAGTTTTCTAACAGTAAACTCCATCCCGTACGCCGAGTGCATGGTTCAGCTCTTTTTCTTCTGCTTCTTTGTTATCGATGAGTGCTATCTCTTGACGTCCATGGCTTATGACCGGTACGTAGCCATCTGCAAGCCACTGCTTTACAGGGTCATCATGTCCAGTCAGGTCTGTCTCATGCTGATGGCGGGTACATATATGATGGGCTTTCTGGGTGCCATGGCCCACACAGTGTCCATGCTGAGAGTCTCCTTCTGTGACGACAACATCATCAACCACTACATGTGTGACATACCTCCTCTCCTTCGTCTTTCCTGTAGCAGCACTCATGTCAATGAGCTGGTAGTCTTCATTGTGGTGGGTATCAATATCATAGTGCCCAGTCTCACCATCTCTCTGTCTTATACTTTGATCCTCTTCAACATCCTCCACATGCGTTCTACGGGGAGCAGATCCAAAGCCTTCAGTACCTGCAGCTCCCACATAATTGCAGTCTCTCTCTTTTTTGGATCAGCTACGTTCATGTACCTTATGCCTTCTCCTGCTGGGTCTCTTGGTCAAGAGAAAATATCCACAGTTTTTTATACCATTGTGGGGCCGATGATGAATCCCTTCATCTACAGCTTGAGGAACAAGGATGTCCAAATGGCACTGAGTAGGACTTTGAAGAAATGGGTGTTCTAAATAGGAGTATTGTCAGTGTTTAGATTCCATATTCTGATAAGGGAGCCGATGGTGTATAGAACTATGGAGAGATTAGAAAGATATCTATATGAAAATACAAATGATTTCAAGAATAAGGGAGTTGAGGTAATTGCATCAATAATTTTTCAAGAAAAGAGTAGTCCTGGGGCTAGAGCAATAGTACAATGGGTAGGGCATTTGCCTTGCACACGATCGACCTGGGTTCAATTCCCAGCATCCCATATGATCCTCCGACCACTGCCAGGAGTAATTCCTGAGTGCTGAGCCAGTTGTTACCCCTGAGAGTCGCCAGATGTGACCCAAAAAGAAAAAAAAAGAGTAGTCCCCCATCCTGTCACAAAATGTAGGGGAAATGTTCATTTGGTGTTTCCTGCTGATTTTCACAGATTAGAAAGTTTTAAGTAGGAATAATTAATGGCATGCTCAAGTTTGGACCCATCCCCAAGTGGTGAGATTGTAATAGTTTTGATTTGGGCAGATCTAAAGTTTCTTTGAAGCTTTTTCACGGTGTTGTCAATTTTGGTGAATGAATGATTTAGTCATTCATCCACTCATGTGGCTGGGTGGAGGAGCAACTTTTGAAAGCCTGTTGAGTTTGTGGAAGGAGAATGGGCTATTTTGAGTATGACTGGGGTTTTGTCTTGGGAGACGCCTTTCTTACCTCAAAGAAATTAACTGTAGGGAGATGTTTCTCTGCTCCTGAATCTCCTTTTTAGTCCCTAAATATGGGACACTGAGGTTAGGACCCATTTGAATAAGCAGGAATAGACCTTGAAGTCTAGCATTTCCTCTTAGTCATCCCATATTCCCTTTGTCTCAGAGGTTTACGTGGTACAAATGACACAATCAGTACATAGCAACTGAGCAAATATCCTATAGGAGCTGTTCGATATGCCAAAAACAGTAACAAGTCTCACTATGGAGATGTTACTGTGCCCGCTTGAGCAAATCGATGAACAACAGGAGGACAATGCTGCAGTGCTACTGTGATTTACAGTACTGTGCATGAGAAAGTTTTATGCTCACAATGTTCCAACACCAAACTCTCTATCCAAGGGTCCACTTCCCTCACTGTTGCCCTGGTGGCCACTCCTGGCCCCACCCCAGTTAAGCTCAGTTCTCTAAACTCAGTCCTTAGGTTCTTTGTCTTTGATCCTTGGTTATTCTCCTGCAATGTTTCTTTATATCCCACATATGAGAGAGATCATCCCACACATCACAGAGACCAGACTGTCTCTTGGTTCTCAGAATATACCTGAGTTATGTTATTCTAGAAATTTGACATTTCTTCATGCATTCTGAATATAAATTATTATCACACACACATCTTTTCTTTTCTCCTGGACGATAGCTTTTCATTCTTAGTGTTTTTCAAAGAATGCACTGCAGCACTGTCCTCCTGTTGTTCATCGATTTGCTCAAGTGGGTACCAGTAATGTCTCCATTGTGAGACTTGTTGTTACTGCTTTTGGCATATTGAATACGCTGCAGGGAGCTTGCCAGGCTCTGCCATGCGGGCAGGATACTCTCAGTAGCTTGCTGGCCTCTCTGAGAGGGAAAAAGAGTAGAAACTGGGTTGGCCACATGCAAGGCAAACACCCTCCCCATTGTGCTATCACTATAGTCCTTTTCAAAGAATAGAGATTCTTAATTTCAATCAATTCTAATGTCTCATTTTTATTTTGGACTGAGTGTTTAATGTCACATTTAAGAACATTTTTCCTAAAGTCCCAAGGAATTTTCTCATATTTTTTTCTAAAAGTCTGTGGTCTGTGATTTAGGTCTAAGATTGGTTTTAGATTAATTGTTCTATAAGGTCTGGACTATCGTGTGTACAGACATCTAATCAACCTAGCCCCCAATGGGCAGTGTTGATTAATACAGTGGTAAACACTTCTGTGCTTCTGAGTTAAGGAAGTAAAAGGAGTAAAAACATAGCCATGAGGAATAAAGTTGCCGTGTCACATGAAAAATTTATATTTAACTTTTTATGAAACTGCCAAGCTGTTTCAAGAGGCTTCATTTTTATGTCCTTAATCATATGCTTTTTATTCATCTGTATATATTTTTAAAATGAAATATCTGTTTAAATATTGTGTCTGTTTTCTTATTTATTTCCTCAATATTACATTGTAAAATAATTAAAAAGAAAAGTCATGTCAGAAGCCGACAAAGAAAATAACACTTTCAAAATATGTATCTGGTAAAGAATTGATTTAAAATTAACTGTCTTAAAATGAATATGCCGCATTTAAAACTTTAGTTTGTATGATTTATTATTATTATTTTTTAACATTGAATCACTGTGAGATACAGTTACAAGCTTTCATATGTGAGTTATAATCATACAATAATCAAACACCCATCCCTCCACCAGTGCACATTTCCCACCACCAATCTCCTCAGTATACCCCCTTCTCCCACCCTCCCTCTGCCTCCATGGCAGAAAAGTTCCCCCATACTCTCTCTTTACTTTGGGGCATTATGGTTTGCAATACAGATACTGAGAGGTTATCACATTTGGTCCTTTATCTACTTTCACTACACATCTCCTATCCTGACGTTCATTTACCATGTGCTGCTCTGAGCCTTCCTCTTCCCTCCTGGGCTTCAGGAAAGAATTCCTTCTTGCCATCCAATCCTGGTTGTCCCGAAGGATCTTTGTCAATTCTTCAAGCCTCAGGAGCATCTCTGTTGTTTTCAGTTTCCAGAAGTTGGGTTGTTGTGGGGTGGTGGCATGGGTTTTCGTGGGATTATTCTGTTTGATGTTGGCAATGTGTTTCATTGGATTTTAGAAAATTTCAGTTATTCTGTTGCAAATATAACTTGAAGCCTTACACTTCTCTTTGCCTTCTGAGAACCAGAAACAAAAATATTACATTTGTTGTTGTTCCATAGGTCTCTGAGGCTCTGTTTGCTTTTATCTAAGTCTGTCTTTATTGTTGTTGTTGTTTTTTGGGTCACATTCTAAGATGCACAGGTTTTATTCCTGGCTCTGCACTCAGGAATTACTCCTGGCAGTGTCAGGGGACCATATGGGATGCTGGGAATCGAACCCGGGTTGGCCATGTGCAAGGCAAATGCCCTACCCTCTGTGCTATCACTTCAGCCCTAAGTCTGCCTTCTTTTAAATGAAACATAAGATGCTTTATTAAAAAATTATGAGGAGAAAGTTTGTAAGGCTACAACTGTACCTCATGGTGTTTCACTAATCACAATCACGATCATCCTGTTGTTCTTCGATTTCCTCGAGCAGGCACCAGTAACGTCTCCTTCTTCCTAGCCCTGAGATTTTAAAAGAGCCATTTCAATGCTCTTTCAGGATTAGGAGAATGAGACCCATCATTGTTACTGGTATTTGGCATATTGAGTACCAAACGGGAAGTTTGCCAGACTCTGCCGTGCGGGAAGGATACTTTTGGTAGCCTGCCAGGTTCTCCAAAGGAAAAATAAGATAATAAGATAATAAGATGTCGCGCGGCCGTTTCACTAATAATAAATAAATAAATAATTGGGAGGAGGCTCTCAAACAGTGCTCAGATGGTCCTGGGACCACTCCTGAGAGACTCAGCCTGAGAGACTGAGGATGAGCTCTGACTGGGCTCTGGACCTTGGGCTTCAACAAGCCCGGCAGACGCTATGACCCGTGGAGCTCTCTCCCAGCTCTGCCCCGCTTCTTTTATTCTTCAATGGTCACTGTGTATGATTTGCCTTGTCCTACTTTTGGGTTGCTGTTTCGTCTCTCTATGGTAATAGAAAACTTAGCTGTCTCAAGTTAAAACTGTAGTGACAGCAGTTAAAGTTTATTAGTGGAACATTTTTATCAGCTTTCAACATGAGAGTGATAATATTGCTGAAGCCATTTTCTCTTGTGTAGCTACTTACTTTTGCATAACCCTTCTCTGATAGCTTTTAAAGTTTCCATTTTGATGTAATTAAGACTTTAATGTAATTGTAATAGAGAGTTATAGAGATCCTGCTAGTTGTCAATTCAGTTTCTTGATAACATCTCACAATAATAATAATAATAATGTAATATCACATCCAAGGTTCTAACATTTTTCATTTATACCCATCCCTATCTCCCTCTCTCAGTTCCTTCTTGTTGGCACCTAGCATCTGATTCATTCATCATTTTGTGATTTTAAGAATATTATGGAAATGGTATGATATGGTAGGTAACCTTTTGTAACCTTTTCACTGGTATATTCCTCTGAATATCAAATCAAGTGGCCCTGTCCAGATATTGCCTGTCTCAAAAGTTTGTCCCTGATATATTTCAGTTGTGATTAACTTTATATTGAGTTACATCGTCAGAACAGTCTAAAAATCGCAGCTGAACTTTTGGTATAAACTGACATGGGGTTTTTAGAATTTGTGCAGGATTAAAGAGGACCTCAAAATCCTAAATAATTTTAAACAGGAGAGATAAAGATAGATTATGTATACTTGATTTTAAGACATTTCATCCTTTACATTTTTGTGTTTTGGGACACGGTGGGCACTGCTGCCGCCCATGAAAACTTGGTGCAACAGGGGGGAACCCTTTGGATCCAGAGGTTGAGCTGGCATGTGCCCAACTTATGGATCTCTCTCCAGTTCTGAACTTAGGCCCTTATATGCAACTCTGTTTTTATAGACTTTGCTATTGGGATCAAGAAATAGCAAAATATATTGCTCATAAGTAAACCCAAGCATAAGTAGTCAGATAATTTTTTCCAAAGCATCCAATAGAGGAAGGATAGTCTTCCTAACAAATATCTCCTGTGTCTACCAAATATCAATTTGCAAAAAAATAGAAAACTATTTTGATTACTACCAGGCATCTTTTGCAGAATTTAACTTAAAAGTCATCATAAATTTACATGTAAAATCTAACATTACAAAACTCTGGACACAGATAAGAGAAGCTAGCTATGAAATATATTCTTTGTTTTGGTTTTGGGGCCACATCCATCATTGCTCAGGGTTTACTCCTG